GTGGATAAGAGGGACCCATCAGCTCATTCCTCCAACAAATACTGATGCACACACTATGCTATAGCGCTGCTTAAGGCACTAGGGTATAAGCGAGCAAGACAAAGCTCCTCTCCTCTTGGAGATGACATTCCAAACGAAACACAGATAATAAATAATTAAGAAAATAACAGAGTAAGGAGATAATAAGAGATGCTATATTAGAGTGATCAAGTGAAGTCATCTCTGAGGAGGTGACATTTGAGCAAAGACTTGAAGTGAGGGAGAAAGGCCCATGGCCATGTGGGCCCAGTGCTGCAGGGGAGGATGCCAGCCAGTGCAAAGACCGAGCGGAAGTGGACGTTTAGGGACAGGGAGGCCGAGGAGGCAGCAGTGACAGAGCTGAGGGCGGTGGTTGTACTTGACCCTCAACCAGCATTTATGGAGCACTCCTGTCCCTTTGTAAACTTTCTGACATTTCTTTAGAGCTGGAGAAAGACACATCCACTTTTTACTTCCAGAAGCTTCTCCTTCTCCAACCTATGGTTAGGAACGTGTGGATGCAGGGCCAACCTTTTGCTGCCATTGTGAGTCCCTAAGAGTGGCATCTCACCAGGCAACGCTGCCCCCAGTTTCTTTTGCCTAGTTAACTGTTACTCCTTGGCCTCGTCTCAGGGATTTTACCTGCTGCTCTGTGTTGCAGGAGGCGAAGGCACTGCTCTTCTGCAGGATGCTGTTGTGCCGGTGACAGATGTTGGGGGAGAACCTGGCTGAGACCGGGGTGGTCTGCGTCAGTGCTGCGCTCTGCTCCCAGCTCGGCTGGCCTTCCAGGCAGAGGCCCGCCACAGCGAGCTCACACCTGTGTGTGCCTTGCAGGGCCTTCGGGCTTGTTCTGGCCCTGGGTTGTGAGCAGGAATGACTTGTCTGACTTCTGGCCACATTTTAGCCACCATGCAGGCCCCTCCAGTGCTCTCCTCCCTCGCCATGCCACCCCGGAATTGAGCTTCAGTGACAGTGGGAAGGGAGCCAGTGGCTGCATAGAGAACTGTTACCCAGGAGTCACCTGGACCCACAGTAAACTTGGCTGGAGCAGGAAAAACACCTTTTTTTGTGTTAAGGTATCAAGATTTTGGTGATCTTACTACAGCATAAAACTAGCCTGCCCCGACCAATGGGGAGGGGTCACGTCCCCTGCAAATCAACAGCAGGTGCCTCTGCCTCACGGGCACTCCCGTGTTAGGGTTTCATGATCTTTGAAGGTACACTTTGGTCATGCAGTACCACAGAGCGCTAAAACCTGCAGGCTCTGGAGCCAGAGAGCTGGGCTTGAATTCCACTTAACCTCAGAGGTATGAACTCAGGCACATTAAACGTTCTGGGCCTCAGTTTATAAAATAGCAATAAAAGTAAAAATGCTACCTCACATAATTGTTAGGAAGAATGAGTTTATATTGACATACACAAAACACTTGAGAGCCTACTACACGGCAACTGATCATTAAATCACTAGTGTTATCAGATGCTGTCAATACAATTACTATGCTCTCCTCTGGAACTCCATCTCGCCTTCACCAATCTTGAATCAGGAAAAATGTGTGAGGAAATGGGACCTGATCAAACTAAGAAGCTTCTGCTCAGCCAAGGAAACTGTCACGAGAGCAGACAGACAACCCACAGAACGGGAGAAAATATTCACGTTACAAATCCGATAAAGGGCTGATAACTAGAATCTATACAGAACACAGGAAAATCAGTAAGAAAACATTAAACACCTTATCAAAAAGTGGTCAAAGGACATGAACTGAAACTTTTCAAAAGACGACTAATGGCTAACAAACATGAAAAAATTTTCAACATCTCTAATCATCATGGAAATGCAAATCAAAAACCACGATGAGATATTACTTACCTCCAGTGAGAATGGCCTTTATCAAAAAGTCCTAAAACAATAAATGCTGTTGTGGATGTGGAGAGATAGGAACACTCATGCACTGCTGGTGGGACTGCAAACTAGTTCAACCTCTGTGGAAAGTAATATGGAGATACCTCAAAGAGCAAAAAGTAGAACTACCATTTGATCCAGCAATCCCATTATTGGGTATCTACTCAAAGGAACAAAAGACATTCTATAAAAAAGACATCTGCACTCGAATGTTTACAACAGCACAATTCACGATTGCAAAGATGTGGAAACAACCCAAGTGGATTAATAAAATGTGGTATATGTACCCCATGGAGTTCTACTCAGCCACTAAAAACAATGGTGATTTAGCACCGCTTGTATTATACTGGATAGAACTGGAGCCCATTCTACTAAGTGAAGTATCCCAAGAATGGAAAAACAAGCACCACATGTACTCACCAGCAAATTGGTATTAACTGACTTAACTGACCAACACTTAAGTACACACATAGTAGTAACATTCATCAGGTGTCAGGCAGGTGGGAGGGGAAGGAAGGAATGGGCATATACACACCTAACGGGTGTGGTGCGCACCTTCTGGGGGATGGACATGCTTGAAGCTCTGACTCGGGTGGGGCAAAGGCAATATATGTAACCTAAATGTTTATACCCCTGTAATACACTGAAATAAAAAAACTTAAAAAAGAATAGAAAAGACTATTTGCCAAGTTGTACCATCCAGAAATGAACAGTGAAGCCCATCTCTCTTTAGCAACTGTTTTGTAAAATACCAGACCTGTTTTTTTCTCCTACTATTCTTTTGCAGCAATTCCCAGAGCTGCTTCTATTCCTGCCACCGTGTGCATTGAACCAGCCTGTGAGCAACAAGAAAGCGATACCTGCAGAAAACAAGGCCCATCTGCAGAGAAGGCACAGCTCATTGAGGTTCCTAAGACCATTTCTCCAAATTGCAAAGTTATCAGAGGCTGGATAATAATAGTTTTAGACATTGTTCTAGAATGTAGACACTGTTCAGTAGTCATAATCAGTGCTATCTGGATAAAAGCTCTCATTAAAGAATCACACATTTTTTGGTATTTACTCAGACCTCATGATAAGCAAGGACTTCACTTCACTACCACTATGCTCCAAGATTTACTGAGACCTCTTAACTGATAAATGATGTCTTGCATGTCTAACTGCGAAGACTCTCTTCCTGCAAGATATATGTTAACCAGGTGAAACCTTATTTTTTCAGAAAGGTTGACTCTGAATAAATTCTTAGTAACATTATACAAAATTATATCCCCTCATTCCTTTAACTGCTGTATGGTCCTGGACTATTTCATAGCAAAAATTCTGACTTTTATCCTGCATTCACTCTCCTGCTAAGCCCTTTAGAAACATGTTATTTCAATTAATTCTCACAGCAACCCTTAGTAGATGCTATTATGATTCCCATTTTAGAGATGAGAAAGTCATGGCTTAGTAACTGAGTTTTAGAAATAGCATTAGAGGGGGTTAGTAGTTCAGTAGAGGTTTTAGAATTAGTGAGAAGCAGTCAGGATTCAACTATCCAACTCTAAAGTCTGCTTTTATTAGAGCATAAGTTATGCAGAGTGCCTGGGTCTCAATTTCCGCTCCACATTCATTACTATGTGACGGTGGGCAAAGTGTTGAGCCTTTGTGTACCTTGATTTCATAGTTATGAGGAATAAATGAATAGATGTAAAATGCTTACACCAGCGACTAGCACTATGGTAAGCAGAGTTAATTATTGGCTGTTAAAAACATTACTATACTGTTGCCGACAATCGATAAAATACAAAACTAAAAAGTTAAATAAGCTAATTGATTACGGGACAGTTCTTGTGAGTTTCAATGAGAAAGAAGGATCATTTGGCCCTAAGAGCTATTTCTGTTTTCCATGCATATAGCATTTGAAAGTTAACAGCACAAATAGCAAATATGCATTAGCTGCACTTTTGACCAGCCCATGGGTCTCACACCTGACTTAACTATATTATTCATATACAAGCATATAATAGGAGGCATCGGTGTAGACAGGCAGCAGTATTTTGTCACCATTTTAGAGAATGCTGAACTTTCTGTATTGTTCAGCTCAATTAGTTCTTTTACATGTCATTGTTATACATGAGTCTCAGCTTAATATTTAAACACAGGAGACAGGGAAACTAATAATACATTTCTGTTTCAGTATCACTAAAGTGATGGGAAACCAAGGTATGAATGGGGAAAAGTAGTAAACCTAAATGAACTAAAGACAGGCTCCCTTTGAAAGAAAAAAAGGCTATTAAATATGGCCTAGATCTGTATTTCTCAACCACCCGCACCAGAATCACATGGAGTGGTGCTAAAACTGTGGATTTTTCAGTCCAATCCCAGACATCCTGGATTAGACTGTCCAGTGGTTGCTCAAAGAAGCTTGTTTAACTAGCTCTCCAGGTGTTTTATATGGATTCTAAAGTTTAACTACTTGCTGAGTTTACAACATGGACCAGTGGCTGAGAATTCTCAGGATGCTTTTCAGAATGTTTTCAGAGAATTAAAACAAGAACACTAATTGAATGCTTCAGTAACAGCTGAAGCTCTAAGCTCTGTGTCTGTATGATACTCTCGTTTCTTAACTGTGGATGCCGTCTCCTATGGACTAGCACTCTTCTATGGGGAGAGAGACTGCAGTTATTAACAGGGGAAGATGCCACTGTGTCTAATCACATAGCTTTCGCACAGAATGTCAAATGCAGGGGGAACTCCCACAGTCTTTTTGTTTCATTCTCTCTCCTGAGCATCTTATACAATAGCATCTCACTTGAAAAAAACAAGAGGACTCTGAGTAACAAAAAGCAGATGATGAAAAGTCCACATAACTTGGGATAACCTTTCAGAGCTCCAGTTGAAAACTTTTTTCGCTTACCATTTTTATCACGTTAATTATGTGATTTCCAAGACAGATTAGAATCACACAGAGAAAGAGGAAGAGGAAGGTTCATAGGTAGTTCACAGACAAAACATGAAGTGACAGCGGAAAGGAGGGAAGGATAGGAAACTTTTAAAAAAGGCACCAAAACATAAAAAAAAAGACACTGGTATTAAACCATTTGGTATAAAAGCAATTTTTTTTTATCTCATTGTGTCCCTGGGAGTATCACTAAATTATGGTACAGCAATCCATACATATAAATGATGAAACTTTATGTTGATAGTAAACTTCATGGTTTTAAATATATTCTGGAAATATTTTAATTAAAATATTAAAAATAAAAATTAAACCTCATACTTTTCTAGAGGTACACTTGCAACTAAGCAGAAAACAAAGCTAACAAAAATGCCTTATTTCTGGTGTTTCCAGATGCCAAAGGTTTTCCTGTAAAGGAGAGTCCATATTACTTTAAAATGTGTCTTTCCTATAGAACCACAAATAACTAAAATCTCAAACACCACTAATGTATTTGTCACCAATTTCTCAATGACAAAGATATTGTAAAAGGGAGGTGCCATATTCTCATCAGTATGAAGGAAATTTGGTGATGAAATAGTTGGCATGGAAAGCAGAATCCCAAAAAATTTAAGTAGAAGACCCAGTGGAAATGTCATCAGTGTCTTTTCTTTAACCCATCTAAGCAGCTTCTGTGGGACCTCAAATCTCCGTCTGGGAGTGTTTGCTGAAGCAGATGTATCTTTGCTGAAGTCTGGGGTGTGGTTTGCAGGCATATAACAAACAGATGGCTGGCTCACCAGGCTTGTCTGGGCTAAATAGGCAACTTGCCCTGTTGCTGGCAAAAAGGGATAGGCCTCTAATAATTTAAAATGAAGAACGATCTGTAATTTATGACTCCCAGTAGGAAAACAAATATTCAACAGCTGAATATTGAGGGTCTATTTCCCTCCCAAAGTCCTGGTTGATACTGAAGTACTTCTTTCGAGAACTCTGGCACAGTAATAGGCTTTGGATCCTGCTGGGCAGCTGGGTTACTTGCAACACTTGGTTCAGATCTGTAGCAACTTGTTGCACTGAAACACTTTATGTGAGTTTGCTACAAGCCAGCTTACCACAGGTGGCCTAGCCTAGAGGATGATTCTTTTCTGGTCATTTCACTCTGAAAACAGGCTATCCAAGAGGCTTTGTGGGAATTTTAAAAAAATATGGTTTTTATTCAGAATTCCCTTCTGGAGGACCTGAAGCCAACTCAGTGTCCCGGGAACATGGGAGCTGTTAGACTCCTTAGGGCAGCCCTAGGTGTCCCAAGTCTGCCTAGACTTTCCAGGACAGACCAAGAGGCCTCTGCAGCTCTAAGAACAGTGTGTGATCTGGGAGAAATGTGGCCAGGCAGCATATGGTGGCAAATAGATAAAAACAGGAGACATTTAACCCATTTCCTCAAATAACATAACAGGCTGTGCCATATCAACAATTTGTCTTTTGGTCCCACTATCCCAAATCAATTACCCCCACCGATTTTATTTTAATTCATATTAGGTGAAAAAGGACACACATACACAAAGTCGTCTGTTTTAACCTGAAATAATTCTGTTGATATTTGAATTGCTTTCAACGGGACATTTGCTTTAAACCACAAGATATCTCCATCTCCAAGTACAAAATCCCTTCTCCCCCGCACCCCACCCCCCACAACCAACCAAAGAAACAAACAAAACCCCAAACCCACAACTCAGCTTCAAATAAGTTTGGAAGAAATGAGACTCTAAATATTTACATATGGGGCAAGAAATAAATCACAAAACTATTTACAAAAATACACAAGCTTATATGCATTAACAATTTACACCAGTTCACAAAAAATATTAAAACATAAAAAATCACTATATAAATTAAAGTTAAAAACTCAAAAGTATGATCTAAGACTTCCTAGGATGCTTCTCTCATGCAGGTCATGGTTAAAAAATCAGGTTTTGCTATCTCAGAATCTAAACTGTAAAACAACCATTTTTATTCTTTGAACATTAATAGTACGAATCAGAAAAGGAAAAAAGACCCTCTGTGCACACTGACAATATCTTGCACGCATTAAAATACACCATTCCCGACATTTCTGTAACACAGTACTGAAAATTACATGCCTGTTTCAAAGTAACTTTCTGACATACTTTTGCTTTCCTTATTATTTCCTTATACACACTGCTCAGGCAATCCTTTGCCAACACACTGGATGAGTGACTGACAGCGCTGGAAACAGTGAAATGGACTATGCCGGCTCCGTCTTTAACTAAAGGGGCAAATTTCAAATCTATATCATATGCATCTATTACTGCTCCAAATGTGATAACTTACTCTTCTATCCCATCACGTTAATGGTTCCTCCTTATTACAGCATTAGTGGTAGAATTTTTCAACCTGACCCTAAATTTTTAAAAATGCTTCGCCATCATAAGAGATGTGCAGGTCCTACCCTTGGGACTCCACTAGGGACTTACATGTTTGAAAGGAAATTGAATACGGTAAGAAACAAGGCTCAGATGAAGTTTATTAATAGAAAATGGCATCTCTGGGGTTGTCAGCAAAGTTTCTAGCCAGACATCCAGGGAAGATTTATTTCAATCAAACCAAACTGTGCAATCAGAATTCTGTCTAAAAGATAAAATCTGGAAGCATGGCTATTAAAATATCAATAGCATTATGGATTTAATGCATAAGGCAGTTCCATTTCCTTGATCATAATGCTCCATGTCAAAATGTGAAAGTCATAACATTCAATTACCCTATTTCTGACATCACACACCAGGCCATGATGCTGAGGTGACCTGCTCACAGTGATTTGCCATCCAGTTTCTACCCTACAGTTTTAGAAAGAGAAAGATTCGGGCATAGTCTTTCAAATAACCGAATCCAAAGTTAAGGCTGTTGCTACATACATTAAATGAGACAACTCTAGATTTTATCCAAAGTGTGTTTCACTCTTAAACCAGTAATTTGAATCATCATTCTATATTCAAAATATTTACCTGGTATTTCTAAACTCATAGGACATCATTAAAGAAATTGCTCAGAGGAATTAACCTAGTATTTACTTTAGTTTCGGGACTAAACGACGTGTGTGATAACAAATCCACAAATTTTAAAACTGGACCAGACTCCTGCCACTTCCTTTGGGCTCTCAATTATTACAGCCATGAGTATTTGATGGTCACACCAGCCCCTCTCCTAACCTCCACGCTGCTGGTGAGAACTTACAGGGCCGGTGTGGTATCCATGGAGAATGGATTTCCTACTTGACAAAAAGACAGTTAAGATAAAATAAGTACTGCATATCCACCAAAAATCAAACTCCTGCATGTAGCACCCAGTGTGTTTTCGTGCCAAATGAAAATTCCTATCAGGTTTCTTAACATTTTGACTATACACCAATTGGGTCTGCACTTTTAATGTAGAGGTCTAAACTTCCACAGACCTTTTCATATAAGATTTCTACTATGGTCTTTACTGCATCCCTCTGATCAATTCTGGGGAAACAAAAGAAAACCTTAGAGTATTTTCACATATAAATGTGGTGTTCTTAAAACATTTTATTTCTTTTTCTAGATATAAACCCTTAAAATGCAATCATATGATTTTTTAAAATAAAAAACTGTCATGAATCCTAACCTTTGTACAATTTGGCAGCAATAATAGCAGCATGATTTTAGCCTCTTAAAAGATTTTCTCCTTTGCTCTAAATAAAAGTTAATTCCAAGTTTTCAAAAGCCAGAGCAGCAACCATTCAGTAAATGGAATGAAATTCTCTTAGTGTCTTCTACAAACTGAGCATTTAAAAATATGTGAATATATAAAACTTGAGCATTAAGAGTCATGGAACAAAAGACAACCTAAACTCGTTTGTAAACAGAGGACTGCCTTGTCAGTCTGACGAATCCGTGGTGGGGTGGGCGGAGAAAACAGAACGGAGTGTGGCTAGAGAGCTCCCACTCTAATGAGGAATGCAACTTTGAAAAGCCCTGGGTATTAAACATGTTTAACATGTGTACGGAGTTATAAAGAGCAATACCTGAAATGCTGGTGCGGATGGCAACTACAGTGAGACTGTGACCACACAAGCAGAGTAAACAAACGGTAGGGAATGCCTTAGGGTGGAAACCAGAACTGCCCAAAACTCCAGCTGGTGCGATGGGGCTGCGTGCACCAAGTGGTTATGGCAGCAACTTACAGTTTCCTACCAGATAATTCACAGATACTTAAAAAATTCCCAGGGAACCTTTTACTCTGGTTTAGAAACAGAAATTAACATGTAAGTTTATATTTATGATAAATTATGTGTGTGTATCCAGTCAAACCATGCTGTTTTTTCTTTGTAAATGAAAAAAGCTGCTAATTTAGGAAAACAAATAGTATAACATGTTTTACTAGAATTACAATTTACCAAATATTATCAGGTGGAAGAAAATCTGAAAGCAGGCAACACATTAAAAGCATTGATATAGTTTTCTGGTGCTAATAACAAAGTTCACTGACAGTAAGTACTTTTTTCCACCTAAAAAATTTCCTTAAATTCTAATTTTAAAAAATCTCTTCTGCAGTGATATGAGCCTGTTCATTGAACAGTGAGGAACAAGTATGAAAAATAAAAATGTGAAGAGAACTCAGGTTCAGCCTGAGTCTAAATGGTCTGACATTTTATGACTCTTGATTAATGTGTACTTTAAAGTCTTGATTTCTTATCTTTAATTATAAGGTTGCTAATTGACTGACTTATCTGAGGGATCAGGGAGGTGTTTTCCACTCTAATTGGACACAAGACCCTTCTCAGACAGGGAGAATGAAGTGAGAAAGGAATGTCCATCCGGGCAAGTTGTGCAGCTACCAAAGAAGTAGGAACACAACAGTAATGCAAAAGCCTACCAGGAAATACATGTAAACTGCTCTGAACTATGTAGCAAATACTAAGAAGAAAGGACAAAGTTAAATTCAAATTCGGTTAAAGGCAGTCCTCAGGCTCTTACAAATTAGCCCTATATGGCAAGTATGGTCTGTGACAAATTTCTTTACTGGGTTTTCAACACAGTGCTTTACAATCATTCAGATCATTTTTAAAGACAAAAATGACATAGTTTATAGATGGAATAGGTGGTAATGAAGCAAGGAAGGGGAAGAAAATGATTTGTTTACTTTTATAATTTTTTAAATGTGGTCAGGGGTTTTATAGCTTTTTCTTAATCTTTTTGGTTATTGAAAAAAAATAGAACAGTCCACTGTCCAGCAGAGGCTGCTTCAACTCTATTGCTCCAAGGCTCATTCTGCATGGATCTGTGTTTCAGGGTGCTGCAAGGACAACTCTGCGGGCAAGAAGGCCCCCTGACCCAAAGCGGTGGCGTATGTCCTGCTCTGCGGATGGGGAAAGCCAGGGGGCACATACGTCCCCATGTCTCCCCCCCCAAAGCCTCCTCGCTGGTGCTGAGGCAGGGAGTGGTAATCTTCCAGGTTATCATACTGGGACACAACAGTCATATTGCTCTGGCGCTTGCCGTGTGGTTGGTATTGGTACAGCATACTGGGGTCCCTCTCCATGTTTTGGGTATGATGGAGTTTTAGGCTATGACTCCTCTCTGGCTTAGGAGGTGGGACCACTGACTGAGGGAGGTGTTCCTCCTCCTTGTAGCAGTCTCTGGAGTGCTTCTCTGGGGCAGGAGGCTGCCTAGCCCAAGGCCGCTCCAGCTCTCTGGAGAGCCTCACCTCTTTGTGGTTCAGTCTTAAAGATTCCTGCCCTGATGTAGCATATTTTGCTCCAGAGTTATGGTAGCTGACTGGCTCAGAAGTGTCTGGAATCCCTTTGGATCCATAATCTAACTGGCCAGGTCCCTGGGGGTAAGGTGGCCCATTTTTTGACTCACAATATTGCCTATGGCTTGCTTCCTGATGCGCCCTGTGCTCAGGGAGACTACAGCCCATGTCACGAAGCTTCCTGTTCCTGAGGCTGCTCTGCTTCTGAGGGAGGGAGGGTTTCTCTGACTGTGTACTGCCATACCCTCCGTGGTGGTGGGCTCTGTCTAGCTCTGGCTCTGGGTGCTTCCTGTAGAAGCGGTCATCTCCCTCAGGACTGATGGCCTTGGCTGGGTGTCGGCCCTCCTTTCCCTCTGCCACTGAGAGAAGTCCAGTTTTCCCAGGATCAGATTTACTGCGCAGATGGATGACATAGATCCCTCCCAAGTCATCCTGCACAGTTGGGGTCATATTATCATACTGGGACATGACAGGCCCTTTCACCTTCTGCCGAGCACGGCTCTCTCTCCGGATGGATTGCATGCGGTACTTTTCCATGTCCTCAAGATCCCATGATGTGTAGGTGTGCTTTACATCAGCAGTTGGAGGCATGCTGACTACATTATGGTCATTACCAGAGAAATAGCCAGTCACGTTGGCCCGGGGACGTGAAGGCAAACCAGCATAACTGTACAAGTTCTTTCCTGGCAGCCTAGGGTTGTAGAAAGCAAAATCGCGATTGGGTAGGCGGTGAAGGGGTCTCAGCTGGACTGTGCTGTAGGCATCCACATCGCACAGGGCCCCATCGGGACTGTAATAGGAACTGGATGAACTGGAATATGGGCTATACCGGTAGTGGACCCGTCCATTCTCAAAGTAAGGCTGAAGCTGAGTTACGTGGTAATCTGAGCGGGCCTGGGAGGACTGATATGGCTTATATTGGTACAGGGGTCTTGGGCAGTAGGCTGGTTCATCATCTGGGGGAACTTCTGTCCGTGAAATTGGAACAGAGCGAATCATGGAAGACGGAGGGGCATGGAGAGACTGTACTCTCCGGATAGTAGGGTATGGTGGAATATCTTCAGGGTAACAAGTACTCCTAACCGAGGAGCTCAAAGAAGATACATACTCAATCCGGCTACATGGCTTGGAGTGGTGTCCAGATGCGTTTCTTCCTGGTGCCACATATGTGTTATACCGAGGACCCACGGAGGCTGGTGGCTCTGACCTGGCACCATACACTAGGTGTGGCTCTAATTTATTGTGGTGTGGAGGTACACTCTGGGGACGGTACTGGCAGTTTGGAGTCATACTGAAATGCAAACAGTTTTCTGGACCAAAGGGCTCAGTGGTGACATCAGGCCTTGCAAAGGAGGAGTAAACTGTTTTCTGAGAAGCATGCTTAGGTTGTGGGACAGGAAGTGGTAAAGGCAACACATCGTCCACAGAGGCAGATGAAGTAGTGACAAAGGAATGATAATTTGAACTGCTGGCGGCATCTGCACTGCTGAAGTGGATGGCAGCAGCGATCTTGCTCTCCATTGTCCTGGTGGGGGGAACTGGTGCAGTAAAGCCACATGAGTGCACAGGGACAGACTCCGCATGCAGGTGCAGCAGCGGGGCCCTGCCGCCTTCCCGCACTTTCTCAGGCAGGCCTGGCTGAGCAGCAAGAGTAGCCATGGGACACTGAGCAGCTGCACTGCCCTCACTGAGGAAAACAGATGCAGGGTCATCCATGGCTCGAGGTTCAGGTGGCCTCTCTGGAGCTGGAACTACTCCTTGAACCTATTGAAAGATGACAGTATTATGAGTGTGTTTTTTACGCCCTGCTATGGAATCAAATACTCTTAAATCTGTTGCTCGTATGTTGAGGCTGCTTGGGGAGCACCATGAACTTTGCCAAGCCATGGGGTCACAACGGACCTGTCCTCACTGCCAGGAAAAGAAGGCCTATGCTGCTGTCTGGAGCAGCTGCCATTACCATCTTTGGAGAACCATTTGGGGCTTTCTAATTTATGATAGGTTTTAAATGTGAGATGAGGTTGCCTATGGCATTATCTTAATGTGCAGATCCAACAGAGGTTTAGTCAGCTAACACTGTCAAACTTAAAAATATATACCCAGTCTGTTGGTACCATTTCAACTCCATGAACATTTTGTTAAATTAAAAAGAGTTGATTTTACCACCTGCAGAGATTTTTGAAGTGACTCACAGTTGCACAGTGAGCAGTTTTAATACCTCAAATATGGGGAAGGGCAATATTCCAATCAGAGGCGTCTCTCCCTTATCTTTTATTTCACCTCAGTCTATGGACTCCATATGATCAGGCCAAATATGATCCTCACGGCAATACTGCAAATATGCCACCCCCAAGAAGTAGTTGGTAAATGTAGTTTCCTCCACTAACGGCCAGAAATTTAAGTCCTAGTTCATGGTGACCACAAAACACCTTTGGCACTTTTTTGAAAATAAGAAAATCAGGAAGAAGCCTTAGCATTCTGCACACTATATTCAACAAAACAACAAAACAACAAAAATTCGAGGGAACAATAATTTCTTATACTTCTCAAAATCTGCAAGGCAGAGTCTTACAGATGACACTTGAGAAGGAAGTATTTTCATTGTGTAGATGTGATTAACTGGCAGAGGGTGGTTAATGACTTGCCCAAAGTCACAATGAGTCAGTGATGAAGTTGGAAAAAACCCAAAAAACAAAAAACCCACAACTCTGACACTTAAAGCCTACTTTGTCTCATTTCATCATGATTTTTTAGTATTCACTTTAGGAAGAAATGGTAGCAGGTATAGTTACGCTCCAGTCATTGAGTAACTACTCCTTTCTCAGAGAAAAAACAGCATCAAAGTAAAGGCAGATTCCAATCTCAAATAGGAACTGCTTCATGGAAACCTGCCACAGGACCTAAACGTAAATGTTGCATGTGACTCAAAGATAACAACACATCCTGCTGAAAAATGACATAACTTTGGAAAAAGTATATTTCATCTCCCTGACTTCTTCCCCTCTTACCTTGTGGGAATTAGTTAATCCTATATTGGTTGCTGCTTGTACCTGTCCCACGACTGCTGGCTGCTCTGTTGACCTTTGGGGAGGAGGTGGGGGAAGGGGGCGATTAGTTCTATGTGCGCGCTGAAGGGTGGCGGCAGTAAAATCGGCAGCAGTGGGCGGTTCAACCACATCCCAGTTGGCTTCCCTGGTGCTCATTTCAGCTATTGCTGGGGTAGTTGTCATGTAAGTCAAGGTGGCTGTGCTGGTATTCTCTTCAGGGGACCCAGAAGGAGGGTAGATTTTGTCCCTAGGCAAATTGGAAGGTGTGGGAGATTTGTCTGCAAGTTCTGAGGGGCAATGAGGTTTATCCACACTTGTACCAAGGTGAGAAGGAGGTTGATCTCCACTGTAGAAATGGAGTGGAGGCTGGTCCTGATCCAGGAAGGAGACAGTAGGCATACTGTTCTTCCCAGACTGGTCTTCAGGAAAACGTATGAGATCATCAGACTTCTCTGAGTCTGTTAAGGGAACTGAAGTAATTCTGGCCTTTTCTGGGTCCCCAGATAAATAGGTTCTATGTGGCTGATTCCCTGGCCAGTCTAACTGGTGGTGCTGCTCCCCAGATTCAGTTGTGTTAGAATGGGTAGGATCCCCAATTGCTGTTGTCTCTGGTAGAGACTGGTCGAAGTTTCCTGGTGTTCCATTGTGGAGCTGCAACTGCTCTGCTGGTCGATCTGTTTGGAAATAGGCCTTATCTAGGGCAATAGCAGAGTAAGAACTGGGCAGTTTATCTTCAGTTGTAGCCACCGCTATGTCTCCATAATTTGTATACCCAGCCTGAGAAGTCCCTGGTCTCTTCAGTGACTGAGTTGAGGCTTGCTGTGCAGACTCAGCTAATGCTAGCGCCAACATTCGGGCAACATTTTTCGGAGGCGGTGGTGGTGGGATAAGAGAGACTGAACTGACAGGAACGGAATCCTGAGGGGGATCATGGGCAACTGCTCCTAGTGGGAAATTGGGAAAAAAAAATGAGAGTGAAAAGGTAGCTTATGTTATCTTATATGGAAAGCCAAACACTCCCCATTTGATCATTAAAAAATAGGTGCTTTCCATATTTCAAAATGGTAATCCATGATCTTCCATCCCACATGCAAATGCAGTAGAAAACACATCTGGTTCAGAAGGAAAACTAAAAGAGTGTTTAAAGATTGCAATCTCCTCTTGATTTGCTAGAGATGGGGGTAAAAAAAGCAGGTCCCTCACCTGGCAGAGAAAAGATTGCTTAGAAAACAAGCTTCAAGTGCTTGCAGATTGTTATTATGAACAGTTTTTACATTTGATGGTGTAGGCTGGTTTGTTAACTTGTAAGGCTACAATAAAGGTATTTTATTAGAAGAGAAAATAGAATCAAGAGCTATGCAGTTGTGCAAAAATTATCCACGAATTCTCACTGTCCAAAGAGATAAGGGGACTTTTGTGAAGGTTTGAAGCAGGACCACTGGCCCCTTTGGGGAGTTTTGTTTGACTGATTTTAACTTAGGGCTTTGAGCCATCAGCGCCATCCATAAAAGCATTTTCTTTGATTAAAGGCTAGCTGTGGAGAAAATTTCTCTCTTAAAAGGCACAGATGGCACACAGGATTGAAGATCCCTCTTAACTTAAAGAAAGAATGGAGAAAAACAAACGGTACCTGTCTGAGTCTGTCCAGAAGCTACAGCCTTACTCTGACTGCTTGAGGCAGACTGTTCCTCTTTCCCTGGCAATTCTACTTCTTCAGCAGCCACCTGGTCCAGGGGCTGAACTTCAGATTCACATCCTTCTTGGGCCTCTCTCTCATTTGTTTTCATCTTTGCTATCTGGGTGGGGGATCTATTTGTGACATCCCTTTCTTCAACGCTTTTGTCCCAGGTTGGAGATGATGCATTCTGAGCTGCAGTATTTGAGACTGTACCAATGACGTCTGACATTCGAGGTGGAAGGGTCACTGAAATTGGCTCAGATATGTTCATAGAAGGTGATTTGTTTAATTTCCGCCCTATCTTCGGAGAGAAAGCATACACGACCTTTTCAGTCAATGAGGACGGCTTAGATGATTTCTCTTCAGTTGGGCTCAAGTCCAGGGTAAAGAATGGACTCAGCTTCTCTTGCAGAGGAGAAACAGGTTCAGAACTTGCAGTGCTTCCTGGAGTCTGAGACTGGCTACCACCTGCTTCTGCATCCCTTTTACTGGCACTTGGTTTATCCTTGGAGTATCCTAATGAATCTAGAAAGGAAGCACCACTCTCCAGACACTCTGACTCAGCCTTAGGAGGACTACATTGAAAGGACATTGGATCAAAATCCAGGCTGGCTACTCCAATGTCTGGTGGGCTCAAGTCAACATCCTCAGCTGAATGAGGAGACATAAGAGCTGGAATATGGAGCAGCCCTGTCTCCTCCTCACTCTCATTGTCATGGGGCAGATTGTCATAGGAATTACAGCGGTTCCCCAGCATTTCTCCATTAAAAGAGGCAGACAGTGCATCACTGCTAGATCTGGGTCTTCTGGGTCGGAAGAGCTTGGAATCACCTGGTAGAAATGGATAACAAAGTCAAAGTATGAATGTCACAGGATACACAACACTATGATGAGTCACCTACTTAGTACAGCAGTAAACTTACTATATAGGGTAAGAAAATGTGACTTCTCTTTTTTTTTCTGGAAATTTTCTCTCAGTGCACACAGATCATTTAAACTTGAAATAAGAAAACTCTCAAACCAAATGCTAAATAACAAGCATTTGCTATAATCAGAGAGAGAAAGCAGTATTTCATGGTCTGGATAGGAAGAAAGGACTCACAACTTTTGGATTCTATCACTGGTCCAATACTGACTCTTAGCATAACTTTGGGCAAGTTTTTCATTTCTTTGTGTCTTATTTTATCACTAACCCATGTATGACTAATGAAGTAGAATTAATCACTTTAAATACTATTTTGGATCTATACCGACAATAAGGTTATTTTTGTGGGGAAACATCCTTATAATGCCAAATTTCTAAAAAAATTAAACTTCTCAATTAAAAAACCTTTACAATCCTATAAAGTATATATACATATCTAGTAAAGAATTCCTTTCAGATACTAATAAAAATTTTTTTTTCTTTAAAAAGAATAGGCTTTAAGTTTCTCAAGCAGAGTCTTCAAGAGTGGCAGAGGGTATTACACAATTTTATGATGCTGCTAAATATCCAACTAGTAAGAAAGGGACTCTCAATTCTATTGGAATTATTATAATTGTCATAGTTAAAATGTAATATAAAGAGACAGAAATTACCTTACCATAAATATATTTATGAATGTACTGACCACTTATAAAATGAATCCCTACTCAAATATTATTTGCTACTTAACACTAGCATTTACCCAGCCCACTGCATTGTTTATATAGATTATCTTGACTATAGTTTAATTGAAAAGCTTGGAAAACTCATAAGATGTCAGCCATTCAGATAAAGTCATGTTGGAGAACCTCCTGACTCACAAAAAAGTCACTGGTTAATGAGGGTTTGGCAGTTAGAAGATGAGAAAATTCACCAAGATGATGACACCACAGGATACTTCAAAAGAGCATGATCTGAATACCAATAGATTAAGAAGAACCCTTGGCAAATCAAGGTAGCTCTTGGTTAGTTTTTCAAAAAGGACCTGCTTTATAACCCTGTGACATAAGCCAAAACTCAAATAAACGATGTCCTATTTTGACATGGCTCCAACCCCGGGGCCACACCCGGCTATCAGTCCATGGCCTGTTAGGAACCAGGCTGCGCATCACTGCCTGAGCTCTCCCTCACCCCAATCCCCATCCGTGGAAAAATTATCTTCCATGAAACTTGTCCCTGGTGCCAAAAAGGTTGGGGCCCGCTGCAAAAATCATACCTTCTTCCAAATTAATATTGAAGTAATTCTTTGTTCTAAAAATTAGTACGCAGTTGCAACTATAATCCAACTTTTGTTAATTAAAAGATAAACTTATTTGCACAATATTTTACTTTTGTTTTTCAAGTTATGTTGCAATCAAATCCTTTTCATTATTTACCATGAAATTTTGGCCCCTATTTTAAGCAGATGCACTTTTTTTTTTTTTTTGAGACAGAGTCTCGCTTTGTTGCCTAGGCTAGAATGAGTGCCGTGGCATCAGCCTAGCTCACAGCAACCTCAAACTCCTGGGCTCAAGCGATCCTTCTGCCTCAGCCTCCCAAGTGGCTGGGACTACAGGCATGCGCCACCATGCCCGGCTAATTTTTTCTATATATATTAGTTGGCCAATTAATTTCTTTCTATTTATAGTAGAGACGGGGTCTCGCTCTTGCTCAGGCTGGTTTCGAACTCCTGACCTCGAGCAATCCGCCCGCCTCGGCCTCCCAGAGAGCTAGGATTACAGGCGTGAGCCACCGCGCCCGGCCATGCAGATGCACTTTTAAGTTGCCTTCTCCAGGTGCTAATTATCCTTGGATAATGAACACCACCTGTAATCAATCTGAATCATGAAATTTAAGGTCAGGTTAAGCCATGTGCAAGAGAAAAGATGACTTACTAGCCTAAATAGCAAAACTGGTTAATTTTATACTTGGTAGTATTATGCTCCTATTGTGAAATCTAAAGAAGGAAATAATAGTAATTACAAGAAGGAACTTGGAATAACAAGTTCTCACTTAGGCATTAATAAATATAAATGTATAACTTAAAAACATTTCAGCTATTTTTATGTAAATTGAATAGCAGTCATGCCAAAAGTGAAAAGATTAAAGACTGCAACCATATTAAAACATCAATCTGAATAATATTAGACACTAGTATTCTTAGGAAATGATAGCTGATAGCCTATTTATTAACTACATCTTGATAAAATACACTCATGAAGTGTTCTTTATGCAATATATGGTAGAATACGACAACTGATGCTTTCAGTCTTACCATCAACTGCATGGAGGGATGTAAGAGACTCCTCACTTTTAGCTGAGCGGAGGGTTCCTTCTGCCCTGCCACCTGAAGAATAAAATCAAATAGTGTGAAGTATTTATTATTTGTTACATATGTAGTTAAAGTGATCATTGTTTTTCTTGACACATTTAAACTTCTAAGAGTGATCAACTGTACATTTTGACAGGAATTTATTATCCTATTATAGAATGTGTTGTCGTGAGATGGTATCATACTGGATGTCAAGTGGGCCCTAAGCCCAGTGCCTGGTATCCTTATAAGAGGAGAGGACGCAGAGAGAGGCAGAGGCGGCCATGGGAAGACGCAGGCAGAGATTGGAGTGACACTGCCATAAGCCAAGAAATCCCAGGAGCTGGAAGAGGCCAGGAAGGACTCTTCCCTGGAGCCTTTGGAGGGAGCACAGCCCTGCTGATGATACCTTGAATTTCAGACTTTGAGCTTCCAGAACTGTGAGAAAATAAATTCCTGTTGTTTTTTTTTGTACTCAATATGGGTAATTTGTTAACAGCAGCTCTGGCAAACTAATACAGATACTTTAATTATATACGCTGACTCTCACCTGCTAAATATCTTCATGCTCCCCACCCCTTGGCAGCACTGTCAACACTCCCTTTCTAAGCCCCTCTGCCCCTCAGAGGAGAGCACCTATCTCTTTTGTTCTTTGCCAACCTTTCTAATCATTTCTTCTTACTCTCCTCTCATGACAACTCTTCCTTTTCCACTTCTTTAAACACAACGCTTTTCTTCAGAATTCAGCCCTCAATTTGTTTCTCTTCTGTGTTCCCATCTTCTGAAACACTTAGTCCCTTTTCAATTAGGGGAATCCCTACTTATCCTTCAAAATCGAAGACAAAGGTTATATTTTCTGGTCACCAGCCCCACCCCCTGAGAACTGACAATTCTTACCATAAATGCCTTGTATAAACCTCTATCTCATTAGCTATGATTCTGCACTGAAATTTATTTTCTTACATGCATGACTTTTCATTTAGACTCGGAAGGCAGTCTTAATTTTCCTTCTATCTGCGGGGCCTGCTATCAAATATCTGGCACATGCTTATTAGGTGATTGCATACCGAATGGATGATGAAGTAAGTGAACTGACCGTTTATACTTCTAACATTGCCTAAGAGGGATCCTTCCTAGATTCAGAAGCTGTTAATATCAGGAGAACATGGGTTTAAACTATTTTTAAAAGGATAGTGTTTTTCAACAGCGATAGATTGATTTAATCTAATAAAATACTATCAATGAGACACCTAGTAAAAATAAAAAGATAGCTTCCTTGGTTATAAGAATTATAAACTTGAAAGGCATGTTGAAAAGCATGCTTTTGTCATTTTTTAAATATGTAAAAATACAGATCTATACATTTAAATACACAGCAGTATTTATTACAAGCTATTTTACAAATACATTGTGAATTTTTAATTGCATTTCCACTATATATAATCTACATAGTTTCCTTAAGGAACTGGATATTACTATATATTTATATATAACTTATGTTACTTTTCAATTTGGGGAGAAAGAATTGCTAAAAGAAGATACTCCCTAGGTGCAACACAACTGTGGCCATATTACACCAAACTGTATTATATCAATACATGTTCTGGCACGGTGGCTCGTACCTATAATCCCAGTACTTTGGGAGGCCCAGGTGGGAGGATAACTTGAGGACAAGAGTTCAATACCAGCCTGGTTAATATAGTGAGATCCTATCTCTACAAAAAATATATATTAAAAAAAATAGTTGGGTGTGCTGGTACATGACTGTAGTCCTAACTATCCAGGAAGCTCAGGTGAGAGGATCACTTGAGCCCAGGAGTTTGAGGCTTCAGTGAGCTGTGATTGTGCCACTGCACTGCAGCCTGGGCGACAGAGTGAGATTGTGTCTCTTAAAACAAAAAAACAACAAAATAACCAATACATGAAGTATGTGCCCAGAGTAACAGGAGAGCATCATGACTGCACCAGAAGTGGAAACCTACCACTGCTCTGCCATGCTAGGACACCAAACAGCAGCAAAGCACTAACCTTTCAGCGCCACCGCCTTCATCTCGGAAGGCTCACTCTCGTTGCGCTGCAACTTCCGTTTAGAAACAGAAGATGATTTCCCTAAGTTGAAAAAGGAACGCCAGCTGCCCACAGGAGATTTTTTCATCTTATTTTGAGGCCTCTTTCTATGAGAGAGAAAATAATTAATCAGTATTAAGGCAACCAAGGGTCTGTCTTTTCTTATAGAAAAAGAAATGAACAAATGATAGAAAGAACCAAACAGCCTGGAGAGGCACAGCCAAAACAGTAAACAAACATCCACTTTCCACGTAGCATGCCCTACACAGCACGGCTAGCAAAAGCAGGAAATGGAAATTAAACATGAGGATTTTCATATTAGTAACTATTTTCACAAAGATCATTTAATACATATCTTCATATTCAGGTCCAATTTCACAATCTGCAAAGTAAGTGGGAATAGGACATATCTATGAATAGGCAATGTTAAACCTCCAACAATAACATAGAGTTAAAATCATTTTAGGTATAGAGAGTAAAGATGTAAGAGAAAAGTATTAAGAATAATAACTACAATATATTGAATGACAGGCATTGTGCTTCTGCCTTATATGTAGTATCTCCATTAAATTAGATATAACTACCTGAGGTAGGTACTATTATTCTCATTTTATAGCTGAGGAAATTAAGACACTAAGAAGTTCAAATAATTTCCTTACTGTTATAAAACTAGTAAATGATGGAGTCAGGTCTGAAACTCAAGTCTATTTATATCCCAATATCTACTCATTTAACTCTATGAAGAAACTTTTTGAGTAAATTATGGAGTTAAAAAGATGTTGAAGACAAACTGAAAAACAAAGTACAAGAGTATATTCCAACATTTTGCTGATAGGACATTTTTAGTCATGAGAAGTGAAAAGAAGTTAGAGGAATATACTGAAATATGGAAAGAACAAATTCTAAAGTTTTATCAGTACTATCCAATCCAGAAAATCAAAATCCTTACATTCATGTGTAATAGCTAAAGGAGGAGCAAATATATAAAAAATAACTTTTACATTTATTAGTCTTCCTACTATAACTAGTAAAAGAAGATACAGAAACCATGTAATTATCATTTCTTTAGAGAAACAGAATTTCAGAGCTAGGAGGGACATTGAGAGAGCAAACTGAAGCGGTTCTCAAATTTTAGCAGATATCACAATCACGAAAGTTTCATAAAGGACAGATTTCTGGGTCCCACACCCACAGTTTCTGATTCAGTGGGTCTGGGGTAGTACTGGACAATTTGTATTTCTAACAATTACCAGATGATGCAGTTGGTTAAGAGACCACACTTTGAGAACTACTGACCTATTCTAACCTTAATATGAAACCAATGTCAAACAAGTTATTGTCCATTCATTACTTTCCTAACAAGCTCTTCCAACACAGCTTATTTCAAAGCAAATTTCTAAATAATATATCTCAGAGAGAAAAATCAATGAAAGTGTATCATTTTCCAAACAATTTTCCCTATATAATTGACTTTCTTCTTTTTAAAAATTACAAGATGATGTAATGCTTTGCAAGAATCATTTGTATCATTTCCTACGAAGTGTTAAGTAGCATCCATATTCAAATAAATAGGTTTTTCTAGGACTGGCCCAGAATTTAATATAGTAATACTAAAATACAAAACTAAATGCAAACAATAATACATAGCCATGAAAATCATATTTTAAAATAAAAATTTTACCTTTCAAGTGGGAACTCAATTATGGTATGAAATTTTCCCTGAAGTGCAGCAGGTCCTTCTCCTACTTCGATATATTTATTTTCAGTCACAATTGGAGAATTGACCTGAGCTTGTGTTCGTGCCTGGGCTTCCTCCAATGTCAGCAGCTTGGTAGATGGAGAGGACACCAGCAGGGACTTGGGCCTTGATAAAGAAGCTTCCAATGGAAAAAAAAAAAGGAAATCAATGTAGAAAGTCAACTATGGATAAGTATGCTAATCTGTCCATCTACCTATCTACCTATTTACATTGTTTCAAATTTTCTTCAAGTATTTTAAATAGCAAAAGCCATATTGCTTTATATTAAATGAGGTGACAGACCAGGTTGTTAACAGTGGCATATATATATATGTATATATATGTATTTTTTAATTCATTAACTATTCTCCTTTCTTAAAAGATACTGATCACTCAGATATTTTTAGTTTTAGAAGGAGTTTTTCTTCTGCTCCATATTATACCTTTACATGTATCAGTAATGGGCTATAAGATCTTTTTTTTTAATATGTCATGAACTTACATAACAATAGGTCTAACATGCTGTATCCACTATGTACATACAAAATTAACTATCAGATTATACATTTTGGAAAACAGACATAAATTAGCTGCCTTATATCAATGACATATTTTAATAATTGAAATAAGAAATGCACAGTTCTCCATTCCTTTACAAGTTTATATCCATGTTCCTGGTAGTAAACAAAACCCATTTAAGCCATACCTGCCCCTTCTTGCATGACTGCACTGATTTTGCCACTGAAAAGCACATCAACATGGTTAAGTATGAACTCGACAACCACAGACTGAATTCTCACTTCCATGAAAGCTGCTGTTCCACTGAAGCAGGCAGATTCTATCTGTTTTGATCTGTGAGGTAAACATATCCATCAGAAAATTGCAAAGATAGCACAGTCTTAAAGTACATATTTTTTTAACATGTAAATCACAGACAAACCAGAGGAAGAAATCATATTTTTACAGTCCCTTAGCTAAGCCCCAGTTGCCTGTTTTAGGGAAATGCTAATAAAAAGAATGAATTTGTTTTACCTTTTAAATTTTTCCTTAAGAACACTGATGAATTAGACTTTTACTTAAGATAATTAATTCCACTAAAGGTCATAAGTCAAATGCAAATTACCTTAGCAGGTTTGGAGCCCAAACAATTGCTAGGTTTTTTGCATGCATATTTGTGATGGAACAATAGTCAGCTAGAAGAGACAAGTGTCTCATCAGGAACTCCAGTGTTCTGGAAAATGAAATACGACATATTAATAGAAAGAAACAGTATGTAGCAATGTAGAACATAAAAGCCCACTAATTAATTTGTAAATTTGCAATAGCAAGATGGAAAAAGAGACCATACAAACCCAAGCAATTTTTTTGCTACATATTTAATATTAAATATTTAAATATTATTATCATAAGTGACTACTCCACAAAAGCTAGTTTCTAGACCAAATGATATTTTGAAGTTATGCCATTCTACTTGCAGCAGACATGCTAATAGGAAAGGATTTAAATATTTTTTTCTATGAAAGAAAACAGCAATGTCTCACAAGCCTAAAAAGAGTTAAAAGAAACATTCTGATAGGCATCAAGGTGAAAATATTTGAGCAGATAATATGCTTTTGGAATAAAGAACCTTCCTCCAATCCTAATATCCTGGTTTAACTTTTCCATTCAAAATTTAACTTATTTTAAAAATTCCATTTATACCAAGATTAAACAACAGGGCAGAGTATTTTTGGAAATAATATAATCTGCTTAAATTACGTTAAAGCAGATAAGCAAACGTGTGTGTACACACACAGAGATATTATCTACCACCTACTACGTCTCAAACTGTCCCTCTCTAACAGTACAGGGATTAAAACTATTAAATATAATGAATGGGAGACAAATATGTAAGACTCTATTATTTGAAACACTAATGAAAGTTAAATCTTAGTCCACATATGACCCACAGAAATTCAGATGTGCCCAGCATGAATGTGAGAGGAAAAGGAATATATCAGCTAGCCTAGGCATTGTTCCAGATGCTTTTATGGGGAGTCTCATTTAATTCTCACAATAACTCTAACAAGCACAGTATTGCCATTCTCTCTATATGGAGGAGAAAGTCAAGGTTTGCCAGAGGTTACACAAATCAGCAGTGGCAATACTGGGTTTCAAATCAAGGTCAGCGTGGCTCCAAAGGGCCTGCTCATTCAACAGCACCTACTATAGCCACTTTAGAGTTAAAATGGTAATTCTCTGTCCCTTCTGTACATGGTTAAATAAGGAAAGACAGATAGACACAAGTGAAGCTGGCCTGGGGACTATAAAGAAGTGGGAAACTTGAGAAATGTATTTAGAAAAATGTAGAATTTTATTATGGGTGGGTGAAGAGAAGGAAAGATTAAAGGACTTCAGAAATGTGTTTCATAAGAACTGCAAATTAAAACAACCAAAGATACCTATTTGGTTTACCTATCTAATTATAAAGATTTTTCAAAAGTTAATATAAAATTTTAGTCAGGATTCCATGAAGTAATAAGCACTTTTATATTCAGCACATGAAAGTTCAACTTGCATAAACCTTTATGGAACACAATTTAGATATTATTGTATAGTAGTAAGAAAAAAAATATTAGTATCTTTTGATGTACAGAATTTCAATGCTAAATTTTATCCTAAAAAAAAAAAAAATCTAGATTCCAAGTGAAAGGAGGATCCTCAAAGTAATATTCAAAATTGGAAAAAACCCCGAAAACATCCCATACTGCCAAGGTAGGTAATAAAATGTATATTAGGCGACAGGCAAAAGTATTATTAGGATACAGATACTACATATATATATGTATATATATCAAGCTATAAAATATACAGCATACAAAATATAGAGAACATACACGCAATATGTATTACTGAACATCTGTGTGCAAGGCTCTGCTCTGGCAATATCGTGATGAGACCGAATTCATGACTGCAGGAGCTTATATAGATGGTCTGACTTAACAATGCTTCCACTTATGATTTTTTTGGTTTTAGAATGGTGTGAAAGCAATATGCATTCAGTAGAAACCATACTTTGAATTCTGAATTTTGATCATTTCTAGGGCTAGCAATAAGTGATATGGTACTTTCTTGAGATGCTAGGCCGTGGCAGCAAGCAACAGCCCCCAATCAGCCCCACCACCAGGAGGGTAAACAACAGATACCCTACAGTGTTGCCAGATGATTTTGTCCAACTACAGGCTAATGTAAGTGTTCTGAGCATGTTTGAGGTAGCCTGGGCCAAGCTACAATGTTTGGTAGGTTAGGTGTATTAAATTCATTTATAATAGTTTCAACTTACAATGAGTTTATAGGATGTAATCCATCGTAAGTCAAGGAGCATCTGTATATTAAATAGGCAATATAGCATATATAAAAAACATATAGTAGAATATATGTTTAATAGGGAAGATTAGATAGTAAGGGATATATATATAAAAATTAGTAGGGGAAATACCGATTATGTGAGAAATATCTATAACTATGTATTATAGGAGAATGTATAGTATGGTAGGAGAAATATAAATATTATTAGAGTACATAAACATAATATAGTAAAAAAGCTATTCATCTCAACAGTTGTAGGGGATATATACATATCCACATAGACAAATGTGTGTATGTATATATAGATTTAACACATAAATAGATGAATATATATAATAGGAGATAACATCAATAATAAACTCATTTAGTTCATATAATAGCACTTATTTAACAGACCTTGTTCTATGTGCTTTTTCTTTAATATTCACAACCCTATGAGAAAATTACTATTGTTATCTCTATGTTACAGATGATAAAACTGATGCCAGAGAGGCAATGGAACTTGCCCAAGGTCACAAGGTCACACAGCTAGTAGTCAGTTTGGCTTCAGAGTCCCTATATTACAATGCCTTGAATATATAGATAAATATTGTATATAGAAGATATAAATATAATACACAGAAGAGTATAAATATATATATATAATATAGAACAAGAGATATAGATAAAACACATAGTGGGAGATTTATTTATATAAAAATTTATAGGAGACATATATACTTCACTGTATGAGGAAAATAGTAAGAATTCTATTAAATACATAATACATTATAGGAGGGAAATATGTACATTTATATGTGCATGACAGAGTCTCTCCTTACTGAGTTCTCTTAATTCACTCACGAGAGTAACCACTACTTTCAATTCCCTCTGAAAAATGAACTGATTGGTGTCCAGGGCATAGTAAGTTTTTATGGCTAATATGTTTCTCTGTGGTATCCATGAGCACAATGGCTAACATCATTTGTATAAGCTTACCTAAAGTCAATTATAAGTGTTTCCATAACTATTCATACATGTTATCTTGATTCATAATTTAATTAAATGTCATCAACATTTATAAAATGTGTTTTTAGAAAATAATTTGTTTGCATGTTTCCATGAAACCTCAGCTGAATGCTTTGCAAAGTCCTGATAAAGGTGAGCTGCCAAAAAAGGAAGCTGCAAAATGAGTAAAAAACAGTGATGAGTAGAGAACAATTTAAAGCAACACAGAGCCTATAATTACTAATAATATTCTCACAAAGAGAAGAGACTGTATCCATGAAACAAGAATAGGATGCTACAAAGTAGGAACATTCAGGGAAAAAGGGATGGAGTTCTTAGAAATAAGAAATTTTTTAAAAATCAACAGAGAAGTTGGAAGAAATCCATAGGTAGAAACTGACAAAGGTAGGAAAAAAAATGGCTATTAGTTCAAGAGTAATAGTAATCCCAGGAAGAGAATAAATGATGAGGTTTAAATTGCAATGAGAATCATCAAAGAAATAATACAAGAAAAATTCCCAGAACTGAAGAACATAAGTTCCCAGATAGAAAAGACTCATAAAATGCCCAAAACAAAGAATGAAAAAGAACCCATACCAAGATATATTAATGTAAAAACTGATCATTAGGTATGTTCCAAATTTGAAAACATCCAAAATGGATAAAAACAAACCAAGACAAAACAGATTATATTTTTAAAAATGGTATACTAGTACCAGACTTTGCTACAGAATTTTTGGTCAACAACGATACAATACCATAAAATTATGAGAAAACAACTATATACATGCTAAAATTATACAGCCAATTATCAATCAAATAAAAGAATAGATTAAGAGTATTTTCAGATATCAAGGTCTCAAAAATTTACTCCCTATATAGGTTTTATCAGGAAGATAGGAGAGATGTGTACTACTAAAGCAGGGAGTAAAAACAAGGAAATCACAACAAGAGATCCAGAAAAGAAGCAATCTAACTCATGAAGAAGGTGAAGGGAATTTCCAGGGTGAGGGTAAAGGGTTAATAGCTTTCTTGTAGGTCTAGAGAACAATCAGTCTGGATTAAGGCAGGGGAACAGAAGACCCTAGAAGGGATGTTTTCAGAAAGAAAAAGAAAAAGGAAACATTATTTGATATGTTTGAACATACTGAGAAGTTCTGTAGTTCTGTTAGAGGACTGAGGAATAAACTAGTGACAAATAATAATAGAAACTTAGCAAGTCAGAAATGGGCAATCACTCCTCAGAAAACCCCAAAAAGTTGTATCAGAAAGGAAATATAATTCTAGTATACTATTAAGTGCAGGTGTGAATAGCAGTGGCACAGTTATTGCAATGCAGATGCTAGACACTCACTGGAATCCTGATGCGGACATAACTAGACTCTGAGGAAGGGGAGAGTGTGTTTGTGCAATACGGAGGGGAGGAGGCTGTAAAAGAGCCACATCCTCACCTACCCTGAAAGGAGAACAACATATAGTATCACAAAGCAAAAAATCAACAAATAGCAATATGAGCATGCTATGTAGAAATAGGGGAGTCAACTCCAGAAGAAAGAGGTGAAAAGTATTAACTTCTGGGAAAAAGAAATTAGAAATGGAGAAGCAACTGCTGTTTCTCTGTGTCAGCTCTGCATGCCACTTGGCTTTTAAAAACTATGTACATATGTTATATTGACCGTTTTTTAATGTAGAGAAAAAAGATGTATTTCTAACATACCTCGTGTAAAATTACCAAGTCAAGAAATCTTGGCTTAAGTCTAATCATCTGCTTTGCTATGCTTAACTTAAAACAAAAATAGTAAAGGCCAGGCTCATTCACGTATTTTATCATTTAAAAAAATCCTCTTAAGATGGCATTATTGGTACAGTTGTCCCTTGTATCCATGGGGGATTGGTTCCAGGACTCCCTGTGGATACCAAAATTCAAGGATGCTCAAGTTCCTGATCTTTATGGCATAGTATTTGCATATAACTTAAGCACATCCTCTTATTAAATCATCTCTAGATTACTCATAATACTTAATACAATGTAAATACTATGTAAATAGTTGTTGTATTGTTTAGGGATTAATGAGAAGGAAAAAAGTCTGTACATATTCAGTACAGACTTTTTTTTTCCTCTGAGTATTTTCAATCTGCGCTTGGTAGAATCCACAGATGCAGAGCCCTTGGGTGTGGAGGGTCAATTACATCCAGTTCACAGACGTAAAGACTGGTGCTCAGAGAGGCGACACAGGAGTAAGTGATAGATTTGGAAATGTAAACTCGGGTGTATCTACCAACCAAAGTCAATATTCTTTATATTGCACTATTTTTTTTCCATGATTGATGGAAAATTGATAAAGAAAATTCTCTTCTCCCTTAAAGATGTTCTTCAGATAACTGTGTATTGATCAGATTTGTCTTTTCAGCCTTCCTTTTCAGGACTAAGTACCTCAGTTTTTTTAGTTTACCTCATGAAAATTCTTTAATTTTGAGTTTCTTCCACACTTAATGGGTTCTTGGACCTCATTAATTTCATTGTGTTTTCCTTGAGACAGGTTACATTAGTAAGACAATGAGTTGATACTAAGTTACTTTCTGGCTCATGACTGTCATACATTTATATCTGATTAAAAATAAGTGATTTTTAGCATTGATTAAAAATCATGTTGAGTGTAGTGACTTTTTAAAAAATACATTATAAGCAATATCATTTTGAAAACAATCAGCACTAAATTATTAATGTGTTTATTACAAGAACATCTAATTTAATTTCTTGTCAATAATTGAATTTTGAAAATGTATCTCTCGCTTTTTTGTATACTATAATACAGTGTCTACTGTTTTCTTTCTCTACTAAATGGCAAAGTCATCCTTAATTTTAGTCTGGTCTTCTCAGATATAAACAAAAATATTCCTGAGAGTCTAAACTAACACACAAACCAAATTAGGTTTTGAAAAGTAGCAACAACAACAAAACCAGTAACAAAAACAAAACAAAACAAACTCCAGGTTTAGTCAGCGGTTCATTTGTCATTTGTTCATTCATTCAGTTACCACCTAAGTATCTACTGGATGCTAAGCACTATGCCAGGCCCTGGCGATGTAAAGACAAATAAATATAAATGTATATATTTATGAATGAAATTCATTCTGGAAAAATGGAAGTTTGATTAGTTAGAACTCCAGGGAAGTTTAAATAGTTAGAAATCCAAAGGGAAAAAACACTGTTGCAGATCAACTGACTTCTCCCTCTGTCTGGTGCTGGCCAACTGTGGCTTACCTGTAGTGTGGCGGGGGCAGCTGCTGGATAACATCATGGATTCTTATCAGTCTTTCTTCATCTGTTGCTGCTGAAACAGCATCCTGTAACAATCACAATGGAAAATAAACTAGTGAGCTTTGTTGGTAAAATTGAAAGTTCTTCACTTATGATTCAGTTTTCACTCGGAGATTAACTCACTTTACTCTCTGATGCTAAATGAGGAATAAACACAACATAATATCAAGGAAGTAAACTATTTTCACACAATGTGAGCACTGAAATCTACTCAAATATAATTTTTAAAAGTTCGATGGCAATCCATATTAATGGCGATATGATAGTGGCTCAAAGTCAGAAACTAGAAGAATGACAGTATGAAAATAGCAAAGATCACAGATAAGCTGGCAATGATTGTTTTTTGAAGGAGTCACTTTAGTCACAGAACTATTTCTTACATGAGACCAAACCAATCTTCACATGTTTTAAAACCACAGCAAAGCTCCACAAAGCACTTGATTCAAAAGTGATTTGTACTCACAGAAAATTTCTCATATAGCTGGTAGGTGAGCAGAGGGTTTGGGAGCTCTCGGAAGTACAGCTTACAGAGGGAGCCCACGGAATGGATGTCTTGAACATACGGCTCCTTTGTCAGGTCGGGGACATGCTCAGAGTCAAATTCATGACTAATAAAGGCAGATGAGGACAAAACAAAATTATTTTACTGGTGGAAAGCAAATGTATGACTTAAAAACAGAAAGCAAAGGCTCAAAGTGTTCAGCTCCACCTCAATGAGTTCCTATTTTATTCAATTCATTATATTTCGTGTAAGTTATATTGGACTCTAGCAACAACTGGATGCCTTATCATAAGACAGGTATCTTTCTACATGGATGTTAAAGGCATAGCTTTAATGTTAAAATGGACAATAACCTCGAAACTCATATGAATGAGCAGCTCTTATAGCACATCAATCTAAAAACAGGACTCCTAACCTCTAATGGCTTGAACTGAAAATATTCTGCCAATTTCTGGCAATCCCAGAAACTGGGGTTGAATGGCAACTCATGCACGAACAACTATGTACAGAAATTCCTCAGATATAAGTTGGATAGCTCAGGAATGCTTTAGTAAAGTGGGATAAAAAAGCCAGAAATAGTACATTAATAAAGCAACTCCCAGCTAATACCAAATTTTAACAGACAGTAAAATCTGTAGCATTAAAGAAAATAAAATAAAAGTTGTAGTCAGAATACTAAGGCAGATTAAGCTCACTCTCCAGGAGGTTAGTTAATATTAATCCACAAGCATGAGACTATTAAAGGACTAATGTATATGCACAATCTGAATACTATGTCTTAAACTAAAGACTGAAACTGTCTTTAACAAAAGAACCACTTTAAATATTTTCTAAATGTGTATTCCTGAAAACAGAGATGAGCTCTGTGGTCAATTAAAATATTAAAGTACCTACAGAATTATGGCAGTTACCATGTATCACAGTGAAAAAGAAAGGATAATAACATATCAAGAATAGACTAGAATCCAAAAGATTAAGCAAAAATAAAATTCATATTGCTGGCATAGAGGATACCACTATTTTTGTCTCAGAGAAGATATTGGGAAGGATGTGAAATATGTAACACATGCACACTTGAGCATATATCAGAATTAGGGTCAAAGAAGATTAGAAAAGGTTTCATACACATCAATTTTAATTAAGAACTAAAGAATAATTCTATTATAATGTAATTTCATCTCTCATGGTTGTCATGTGTTCAGACTCAATTTGCTAAAATCTTCAAACATTATGAAGAGACAAAATACAAGTATTGAAGAGATTAAGGTGCATGGTTCACTGATACTACAGATGAAGAAATGTCATTTAGAAAAATATATACAGAGAATAATACGGATATTATTTCCTATTGTATTTAAACTATCTTACTGAAAATTGTGGTTACCAAAATAACTCAATTTTGAAATAATTTCATTTTAATGAGTTAAAAAGGAATGAAGAAGAAAATGCCATGTAAGATTTTTACCGCAGTCTCTGGATATTGGACGCAACGCCAGAAAGACGATAAATTCCATCCACAATGCCATATCTCTCAATGAATGCTGTGCAGCTTTGAAGAACCTGGGGCACTAAAGAGGATTTTTAAAAACATAAATTAGATTAGTAGTATTCAGTGGAACCAAAGTCACCAAAAAATGGGAACACTGTAGTTTTCAAAAGCAAAATAAAATTTGTAAATAAAATTAAAGGGGGTGAAGATTATTCCACTACAAAAAATGATGAGGGTATCTTTACTTAATGTCACATCTAAACTACATAACTAATTCCTGAATAATCAAGAGTGGCTCTTATCTCATGACATTTAGGTAAGTAAAAGAGTTCATACTCATTTAGACAGTCTGTCGTCTACAGTAGACTCATTCAGATCATGTTATCACAGTAAGGTGAACTTTTTAGTCCTAACAGTGTGCCAGAATTTTTAAAAATACATCTGTTCAGCTAAATTTCATACACAGCAAATGGCTATATAAAGTTAAATGCTTATCCCAACATTACTGCTTGGAACTGCTGCAATGTTTCACTTCTTTAAAAGTTTCTTCCATCTTTTCACGTTAATGCTTATTCTAATTTTATTCAATAAACAAAATACCAATATAATGTAAAGGCCAAAGCAATTTTAAATAGAATATTTTAATATTTAAATAGAATATTTTAATTTCCTGCCCATATTTACAATAAATTTACTGACATTTTTACTTAATATTATCAGCTCATGATAAAGGACACTCTAAGTAGAAAGAAAAGAAGAGCACATACTCTATCCAGTTAGCTCAGTGAATACAGCAATTCTGGGTTCTACAGTCTAGAATAGAACTTCCAAAGTATATGATATAAAATTTTTTTATAACCATTCAAAAATTTATAATGGCTAAGATTTGAACATTGGTTTGTAATAAAGATTGGTGAGTTTACAGACTTTAGTAACTACATTTTTACTTAATATTAACAGCTCACGATAAAGGACACCCTAAGAATAAGTAGAAAGAAGAGTGTTGGTCAGAATCCCTGAAAAAAAAAAAAAGTTTGGAAGTACATTATTTGGTCTACAAAGAGCACTTATATACTAAGGATGAAACATTCAGAGTAGCAAATGACACTAATAAGGTATTTTAATAAGGTAATTTTAGCTAATGTATTTCATTTACAGTATATTACTATCATTCTTTTATTATTATAATAGACTTTTCTTGGTTTTCTTGCCTTCTGTTGTCCTTGTAGTCTATCTTTAATTCTGTCAGATGCTGTAATTCCATCTAAAACTTAAACTCTTTATCTTTGATTTTTTTTAAAATCAGAAAACAAAAACAGCAACTGAGCACTTAATATGATCCAGGCTAAGTGCTTTACAATGGACTCTCTGATTCTCACAGAAACCCTTCGGTAAAAGTACTATCATTATTCTCATTTTTACAGAAAAGAAAAATAGAGCAGTGAAGTTTTACCCAAAGCATAGGGAGGAGACAGTGCTAGAAATGAGATTCTAACTCAAGCAGTCCAAGGACAGAGCTAATGCTTCAGCTACTGTAACACACTGCCTGGCATATAAGACCCTTTGCAATTTATACTTAATTATTATCATATTTCCATATTTCACAACTATCGGCAAAGTGAAGTTTCACCTTTTACCACACAAACCAGCCATTCTATGACTCCTTCACAAAACAATTTCTTCTATCTGGACTCTCCCTTCTTCATACAGAAAACTCTTGGTTGTTCAGAAGACAGTTAAACTATCACTCTTAAGCAAGCCTTCCCTGAATACCCTCAAGTGAAGGCATCCACAGCCCTATGTCCTATGTACTCACAGAAGGGTATTTCAAATTATCATGTCTTGTTTATACAACCATTACTCCTTTTAGACTGCAGGCTCATAAAGGACAAAACCCATGCATCGTTCATCTTTGTATATTCAAAGCTCAGGAGCACTGTCCTGACACAAGGTGTAAAAATTAGCATTACAGGTGCCCCAAGGGCCAGAAAAAGTTATCTGATCATTATATAATTCTATATTCATTTCAACTATATGCTTTCTGCCTCTAAATACACTTAAGACTTTTAATAACAAGACACAGAAATGTGCATGTAGTAAAGATGAAGGGCAGACAGAATTGTCGAGAACTTTTGTGGACTGACTTTCATTATAAGCAATCTGTGTCAAAATGATGTGCAAGATATAAAATATGTTTTTGAGAACACAGGTCCTACTTCCGGCATTCTTCCAACAATGATAACCTCAAGTACCTTATGTTTCTCTTCTATAAACTAGAAGTAGAATAATAAAATTTGGAGCTAGAAAATTTCTGTCATCTACTTCAAAGGAAATATATTTAGAGATTACTGGGATAATTAACATAATTACTTAAAAAGAAAAACAGTTTAATTCTTTTTCTTAAAAGATGGTTCTCATTATGTATGCTCCAAATTAGCATGCTAACTCACCAGGTACACAAAAAGTTTGCTTTGGAAGAAAATCCTTCAGAACACAGGATTTTATTTCCATATTATCAGGCTCTCTTAGCATACATTATAAAATTTTCATAAAAACAAGCTACTATGTTTAAAAAGTATAGATAACTTTCACTAGAATCTTACATCTATGTGATATTAGATTCATATCCATTTGTATTCTCCCAAATAAGTAGGAAAACTTTGAAATTATAGAGAATTAGAGGTCTTTCTCCGATAATATGACCAAGTTCCTACAGATGTAATACTTTATGGAAAGCATCTGAATTGTTTCTTTACATTTTATGTTCCCTAAGTAAAAGAACTAAATGTCTACAAAACAATCACACAGTGAGGCTTAATATATAAAATTATGTAACTATTACTTGCAATTTTAAGAGAGACGAATGGGACATTTAATAAGAAATAAGTGGCAAAAGGAAAGAGAAAAGCATAAATTTTAATTTTGAAGAAAAGAGAAGAGAAACTGAAAAACAGTGGAGAAGATAAAATGAAACTATCTGGTTTATTTTTTCACTAACATGTAGGAAAGCAAAATGAGAATCCAATGTATTATGTCTTGCAAAAAAGGGTATTTTATTAGCTATTCCACTCAACCCATCTAACAAGCCAGCCAACGCACACTAATAATAACTCAGTCAAAATATAACATTAAAACTTCCAAAATGGCTTCTCTAAGAAACTAAGAAAAATCTTCGTCCATGAAACTTAGGAATTTGGGGGGGGGTGGTGGCACAGCAAGAGGTGAGGGAGGCAGGAGAGCCAGTAAAAAGTTTTATCTGCATTTCCAGCGGCTCGCCATGGCTCACATGGCGGCCTGAGCTCACCCCTCCTCCCACCCCTACTGGTCTACCATCTGTGGAAAACTGTTTTCCACAAAAATGGTCCCTGGTGCCAAAAAGTTTAGGGACTGCTGCTAAAAGATGATATGACTTTAAGAATTATTCTTTATACGTATAAAGAGGTGACTAAAAAGAGAAAAGAAAAAAAAAAAAGAATTATTCTTGTACTCTTTGGATCCACTTTAACATTCTTAGGGTTTTTTAAAAAATATCATCATATGACAAGAGAATAAAAAATGTTAAATTAAAATTGATGATCCTTAAAATTAGAATCATGGTTAAAAAAAGTGGGATCTTGAAAGTTTTGGTTTTATTTCTGTTCTTTTCATTTACTCAGTTATTCATCAATCCAGTATTTATTAAGTCCCTTTTATCTGACAGGCATCCTGCAAGTATTTCAGGTACACATGAAAAAGCTGAGTTCCATTTTCAAAGAAGTGACTTCCAGGCTGGGCGTACATGATTACAACAGTGTTACTTTTTACAATATGCATCATGATTTTTGATTAGGAAAATACGATTGCCTAAAGAATTAATTTCAGGTTATTTGGGCCTTGTTTAATTTCTACTGAGCTCTGATTACAAAATCCTGGTATACAATATGATACAGAAATATGTTTGGGCAACAGAGTTTCCTCTCCTTGGGTTTTAAAATATTTTTTATATTTTGTACCAAACATAATTTTACCTAGTTTTCTACAAAGTTCTCACTATTTTGTTTTAGAAAGCTCATTTCAAACTTTTAAGAAAATTTACTTTTAAATATGTGTAGCAAAAATAAAAGTCCTATAAAAAAAATCAATGATACCTAAAAACTCTATTACATTCAAATAGATTTTTTTCATAATTAGTATATATGAGCACTGTAGTTAAATCTGGTATTTTTCAGACAGTAATTATATATTGGTATCTGTCCTCTCCTATCATTCTTATGAAGAATGGAAACATACCTGACACTTCTAAATACAACTAAAATTGCTGAATTGATGTTTGCAAGCTACTGAGTATAGCAAAACAAATTGGAAAACATTCAATTCATATTAATGATCACATCTAAGCAAAGCTGAACAATGGCAAGAAATATAAAAAGAAAAGGAAATTAATGTAACAAAAAACATTTTAATGCTATAATTAAGAATGCCCAAGTAAATAACAAATTAGTCTAATCTATATACAACAAAAAGTACTATGTGGGCAGATGTTTAAAGAATCAATTCTAAGGCCGGGTGAAGTGGCTCACGCCTGTAATCCTAGCACTCTGGGAGGCCGAGGTGGGCTGATTGCTCAAGGTCAGGAGTTCAAAACCAGCCAGAGCAAGAGCGAGACCCCCGTCTCTACTCTAAACAGAAAGAAATTAATTGGCCAACTAATATGTATATAGAAAAAATTAGCCGGGTATGGTGGCACATGCCTGTAGTCCCAGCTACTCGGGAGGCTGAGGCAGGAGGATCGCTTGAGCCCAGGAGTTTGAGGTTGCTGTGAGCTAGGCTGATGCCACGGCACTCACTCTAGCCTGGGCAACAAAGTGAGACTCTGTCCAAAAAAAAAAAAAAAAAGGAATCAATTCTATAAAAATAACTGATATAATCTTTAATCAACTCAATTATAAACACTGTGACTGTGATAACTGAAACTCTGTATGATCGTCCTGAGTGAACTGTGGCACCAGGGACCACAAATGAAAGGTTAAAAAGAAAACTGCCCTGTTAGGCTCCTGTGTTATTTCTTACAACACTTTGTATAGAAGAAACAGGTCAGGTTTGTCACTTCAGGCAACAGAGGCAACAGGGAGGTACTCAAAAGATTAGAAAGTGTAGTAGGGTAATCTCCCTATGAAGTTGATTATTCACTAGGAATTATTCAGAGAATGAATCACTTAGTAAAACAATTCTGATATAACGCTCCTTCTCAGAAAAATCTGCTGTAATCTGCTATTTTGTTCATGATAAAGACACCATTTTAAAGTCTAACCCAAAACAGAATAGTCACAAAGAACACTTACACATGTTATATAATTATATTTATCTATCTCTATTATACATACTATATATATCTCTTGTAATTATGCATATAGTATATATCATTCTTCTTCATGATTATTCTAATTGTTTAAATTTAGAGTTTAAAATATCATATACAATATATATTCACTTCTAATTGTTTTAATTTAGACTTTAAAATAGTCTCTCTATGTGTATGAATATAGATACACACATAACTGTAGTTATAGACTACATACAATATACAAAGTCTTGGCTGGGCATGGTGGCTCACGCCTGTAATCCTAGCACTCTGGGAGGCTGAGACAGGAAGACCACTGGAGCCCAGGAGTTTGAGGTTGCTGTGAGCTAGGCTGACATTACAGCACTCTAGCCCAGGTGACAGATCAAGAAAGACTCTGAATCAAAACAAACAAACAAAAACACAAAAAAACCTCCAATATACTAAGTCTCAAAATCTTTAAAGCTAAAATTCCTCACATATTTATTAAATCAAAGACAAACTAATAAACCATTTTGATATTAAAAAACATTTTTTTTCCTAATTAAAATTTTAGTTAATGAACTTCAAAGCTTGCCTTTTCCTGTTAATTTAATCTTCATTTGAATATTGAAATGAATATCCTTCATATATATATTTATTTTTCATTTTTTACCATCCCTGATGAAACTGGAAATTATTTTAATATGCCAACTAGAATATATTTGACTTCAGTCTTTAAGGTTTTTGCCTCCTAAAGTTTATCAAATTGCAATTACACTCTGATGTCGCGAGTTCATTTTTTTGTGTATACAGACTTTCTCTGTTGGACAGGCTGTCAGCACAGAGGTTTATCTTCCAGAACTATTAAATTCATATTTAATATTCCTTTAAAGTTTTGTTTTAGTTGAAAAAGCAAGACAATTAAGAAAAAAACCAATCCCATATAGACATTATCTATATCTAATACTTTAGCATAATTCATTTTACATGTCACCTAAGTATCCATACTTCAAAAAGTTTTATCTACTGCTTACATATGTTTTTCAAGTTTCTACACTGTATTCAAACTCACAATATCTAATAGCTTTATAATTTATAGAACAATCCTCCCAAAGTTAGGTATTTAATACTTTTTTGCTCTCACACATAATGCTACAATGAATATTTCTGTTACTATTTAATTACAACATTAGCATAAATCCCTAAGGAGCAGAATTGCTAGATGAAAGGGACACTAAAAAGTCTCTTGCTATAAAGTGTCAAAATGCTTTGTACTAATTCAAAGGTTGTACTAATTCAGAGATACCTGAAACCAACAATTTTTACCTGTTGGTAAAAACTACTGCTGTCGTTAATAGCACTGGATATCATAATTTAGAAAAACAGCTTTGTTATCTTCATAATGTTTACCAATGTAATACGGTTTCTCAAAATTGTCCGAAGATACGTTTCCATGATTACAAATGAGGATAAACACTCTTCTGTATTTTGTTTACCTATCACCCTGTGACAATTATGCATTTATATCATTTCTCCATTCTATTACTCAGAGACTTAAATTGTTTCAAAAATCTGGATGATATTCTTATACATTATAATAGTAGCATTTCATATCTAAAAAATTATTTTTCCTTGTCTACATTTCCTCCCTCTATATTTGTTATTTTTCTTTTCTTTTTTTTTTTGAGACAGAGTCTCACTCTGTTGCCCAGGCTAGAGTGAATGCTGTGGCATCAGCCTAGCTCACAGCAACCTCAAATTCCTGGGCTCAAGCAATCCTCCTGCCTCAGCCTCCCTAGTAGCTGGGACTACAGGCATGCGCCACCATGCCTGGCTAATTTTTTCTATATGTATTAGTTGGCCAATTAATTTGTTTCTATTTATAGTAGAGACAGGTCTCGCTCTTGCTCAGGCTGGTTTCAAACTCCTGACCTTGAGCAATCCACCTGCCTCAGCCTCCTAGAGAGCTAGGATTACAGGCATGAGCCACCGCGCCCGGCTCCTGTTATTTTTCAATATATGAAAAGTATATATTTGAAGTCACCTCTACGCTTTTTGTTTAAATCTGATAAAGCTATTACTATTCTTTTACCTTAAAATCAGTTCATATTGGCAATTTAAAAGTTTAACTCCTTTACATATTTGGAGTTTATTTTCAGTGTCATAAAGTAGAAATTAATTTTTTTCAAAACTGTTATTTCATTATCTCAGTATATATTATACGAGGGTTCCATGGAGTAGTGGTGAGCACTTTGGATTCTGAATCAATATCTATTATAAATAATCTTTCCTCATAACATGGTTATAAAACTATACTTTATCATAATGGATTTTTATCTATGGTAATAACTATTTCTGAACATTCTAAGCTGTATCATTCACATTTCATTCGTGGCACAAAGCCCTGCCTTCTAGTTTTGAATACTGTTTTAATATCTGGTAAAATTAGATGTCTCCTATCCTCTCACTGATTTCTCCCCCCCCCCCCCCCCCGCAAAGATCTCTGATATTTTCATTGGTTGATTTTTTCATGTGAATTTTGAATAGATGCAAAAATAATCCTTGGAGTTTTTGTCTTTTTGTTTAAAGAACTGCACTATTGATATTAATTTGGGAATAACATCTACTTGAAATAATATTTTGTCTACTCTCTCAAGAAACATGGTATAGTTTGCATTAAATTCATATTATTGATATAAGTCCACTGATATTCTTTAAACAATGAGTAAGGCCTTAATTTGGACTTGATATTATTAACCTGATTATAATTAATTTATCATTTTTGATTAGTGATCTTCTCAAAAGGCACAATGGGTATTTCCCATCAGAATTCAGAGTTTGGCCGGTCACAGTGGCTCATGCCCGTAATCCTAGCACTCTAGGAGGCCGAGGCAGGCAGATCGCTCAAGGGCAGGAGTTCAAAACCAGCCTGAGCAAGAGCAAGACCCCTTCTCTACTAAAAATAGAAACAAATTAATTGGTCAACTAAAAATATATAGAAAAAATTAGCCAGGCATGGTGGCACATGCCTGTAGTACCAGCTACTCGGGAGGCTGAGGCAGGAGGATCGCTTGAGCCCAAGAATTTGAGGTTGCTGTGAGCTAGGTTGATGCCACAGCACTCACTTTAGCCTGGGCAACAGAGTGAGACTATGTCTCAAAAAAAAAAAAAAAGAAAGAATTCAGAGTTTCACAAATCATCTATTTGTGATACTTATCAACATCACAGGTAGATACTGCCTTAATAGTTTAGCATCTCTAAAAGAGATGGTAAAGTACTATTTTAAAATATCAAATGAAAATTTCTTTTTTTCTTCCCTCCTATACATCCATTCACCTAATCACTAAATTCTTCATTCACAATTTAATTTACAGAGAAAAGAATGTAAATTTTTAAGTATAAAAGTTGGAAGACTGGTTTTGGTATTTCATAGTCTCAAAGCTATGTTTTTTCCACAAGAAGAATTACATAAATATTTTAGGATAAAATGTGAGCAGGAAAACTGGCTTAAGAAGCTATCTGGGCAGATATAAAAAAATAATGCAAAATAACAGTGTTATTGTACCTTTTGTGTGAATGTCCTACTCTTCCCAAACAGATCATAGGCATTTCTGATGCCAAAGTACATTTTTAGACTTTTCATTCTCAGCTCTACCCAAAACTGAGATGAGTACCTGAGGAAGCTCAATCCCTGCTCCTGAAATGAGAGATCACTTGCCTAATCTACTCCGTAAGTGGTTACAGAAACCCAATATGGAGAGGTCAGAAACTGAAAGTATGGGCTTATAAATTTTATTTTTACCTTCAAAACCAGAATTCAGAAGGTGCTCCCCCAGGTCACAACCAAACACTCTCTCTTTCAAGATTCCCCGCTGCTTCAGCTTCTGTTTTGTTGGACGAGACTTCATGAATGTTCGTAAGAAAGTAATGAGCTTGCCGTGCTTTTTAGATACTAAAAAGTAATAAAGAGACAATACCTTAGTTGTGGCAAGAGGTTACACTTTACTTAGTGTGATAGATATCTCAACAGGTTGACTTAAAATAATCTATTACAAATACATTTTATAATCTGTAGGAAAATTTCAGCAGAAAGTTTAGCTAATAGTTGTGTTTATAAATAACATAATTCTGTACTTTCTTCTCACCAGCCTGTGACTTTAGTTGAGGGGATTGTGAGCAAGTTTAAGTGTTATAGTCTGTGATCTCTGAATCAAGCTTCCTATGCCAGCTGTCTTCCCAATGCATACTTAAGGAGATACTATACAATTACAAGAGGAATCTGATTTTTACTGTAATATATTGCTTTGGAGATCTTCATAGTAAGTTACACTTAAAATGGTGTAAGTGTGGTTTGCATTTCTAGTCAATTTCTAAAATATTTTACTTGATGGTTAGAAATTTTCGTAGCATTTGTAATCTGGTGAGTACAACTGAAAAAAGAGGATAATCCCATGATGATATAGAACATACCTGTCAACCTAATGGCTATACAAATACAAAACACACGAACACACAACAAAAGCATCGAATCTTCTATTAAGTTAGTATACTTAAATACGTCACCTTAAATCCTTTGTAGATCAAAGCAAGAGTAAGCAAATCAGTACTTGAAAAAAATAGTTCCAGTAATTGGCACACATACACACACAAAAAAATGGTTCAAGAATTGAGAGTAAACAAATCCCTAGAAAAATGATTTTTGTAGCCTACAGGGAAAATTACTCTGAAAGTAAACACACAACTAATGGGCAAAATGTGACAAAGCAGTCATCCTATACTGCACAAAAATTCAATGGGAAATTTATTCTGTTTTATACCAACTGTTTAAAGTTTACTTAGAGTAATCAATATAATTTTGATGCTATCTCTGGCATCCTCTGAAATTCTGGGTAAATTACAACCTTTCTTCTATCTGAGATTCCTTGCTGTAAAATTAAATGACATGCTCACTTATGTATACACAAGACATTCTGGTACACTTGGCTGTCACATATACTACTACTATATAAAAAGTTATGGGCTACTGTGAACTTTATTCTCTTCTAGTTGCTAGCAGATTATGTTTTATGAATCTGTTAAAAGAGTGGCCATCAAACCATCTCTGTTCTTTTTCAAATATTTTCCACATGAACTACAAAATAATTGACAAGGTTCCTAAGAAACTACAAATAAATTTGGTTTGCAATAATTTAACATTATACAATAATTTGTAAGAATTTTAATTTCTATAATATTCTATATTTTTATCTGGAAACAGAGTATATGATTTTTCTAAATCTTTTGCATCTCTCAGTTAATTCTCTTTATGAAAGGACACATTCCACATACTGTCTATTAGAAATACTGCTAGGTGTCTTTTTATGTGCCCTGGTAGATCAATATTTTTCTTTCAATTCTGCCCTTCATTGGTAATTAATGGTATGCTGGAAAACAATTTCTTTATTTATAGCTTATATCTGATCATTACTAAACTCTCAACAATTTTAGGAGGATTTTAGTTGATCCTTTTGGATTTCATGGATACGTAATTAGGTCAAGGCAAATATGATAATTCTAGCCTTTTTCTAACAGGAATAATTTTTATGTTTCAAATTTTACTGATTGGCCAGAACTTCCAAGATGCATGTTAGCGGTAGGCATTCATATTTTGATGATGAATTTGATGAAAATACCTGTTGAATTTCACAACTACATATGATATATATGAGAAATTACTTTTACTCACACACATTTCCAAGAATGTTTCAAAGGAATGGGAATTGAATTTTAGCTTTTATTTGTTTAGCAACAAATATGCAAGTGTCTCCCATATTTCAGGAACTGTTCTAAATCCTGAGAGTACAATGGGGAGGACCAAGAGATACAAGGTGCTTGCTGTTGCAGAGCTTATTAAGGACAGACACATGAACAATTCAATAGTAATACTGACATAGCTAGCATTTATTTTACACTTAGTATGTACAAATAACTGGACAAGTGTTTATATTTATTATTCATTTCTGACAGCACTCTATAAGAAAAATACTATTATTATTCCCATTTTTAGATGAAGAAACTGAGGCACAGAATGCAAAGTTAATGTGCCCAAAGTCACATAACCAGGACTTAAAATCAGGCCATTTGGCTCAAAACCCAAGCTCTTAGCCCCTATATGATACTGCCTAAATTGAAGACAACAAAGTAACATCAGATTGTTTTTAGTGGCTAATAAGGAAATAAATAGAATGAAATAACAGTGACTTGAAAGGAAAGAAACTAAATTAAATAGGGTGGTCAGGGACGGTTCCTCTGAGGAAGTCATATTTGAGTTGACAGCCATGAGGGTGCAGCTAGCCAGGGAGACAGTGGCATGAAAGGAGGTTGAAACCCTTGCAAAGACAAGGGTTTACAGGCTATAACAGAAAGTCTGGGTTTTATGCAATGACAACACACTAAACAGTTTAAATATTTTAAAACAGTTACTTTAAAATTAACCCAGTATGTGTACTAGAAACCCAAAAGTGCTTTAACAGGTTGGTTGAATAAACTATGATACATCCACACAGAGGATTACTGATTAACTTTTGCTTTGCTTTGCTTTTTAAGGAGGATCTCTACCTACTGATACGGAGTAATCTGCAGGATATGTTAAGTCAAAAAAGCAGGGTAGAGAACAGTATATTTAGCATAAGAAAAGATGAGGAATATACACATTACATACAAATTCACACCCATATACGTATGTGCATAAGAGCTCATTTCTGCAAAAAAAAAAAAGAGAAGGATAAACTAGAAACTAATAAAAATGGGTAAAAAAAATGGATGGGGAAAGGGTAGAGGGCGGGGACAGGAAGTGAGACTTCTCTGAGTTTAGCTTTCTTATCTAGCTTGACTTTGGAATTATGTTAGAGTTTTTTCTATATGTCCCAAAATAAATGTAAAGTGTTTGTAAAAGGAGTACATACTTTGTGGTATATATTCAAAGGACAAAAAATCTGCAAAGTAATATTTAATTTCATCAAAACTATTTTACTATTGGTAATATTGGTAGTGTAATTCTGAAACAATTTTACTGATTGGCCAGAACTTTGTGGGCCAGAACAAATAAATATTATTAGGAACCAAGATTTTCAGCATGAGAGAAAATGCGATATAATAATAAGGTCAAAGAAGTTAAGAAGAAAAACCTGTAACGTTAATTTTGACTTAGAAATGTCAACATGAACTCACGATTAATACCTACATACACACACACATTCACACATACACACTTTCCCTAATCTCTATCCATTGAGAAGGCTTAGAAACAAATCATATGCCAGTTGCAATGAAGACTTTGGTCTCAGATCTGGGATAACATTCCCCACTAAAACAAACCCAGACTCGTTGGAAAAATGCCTGGTTTCAAGTTGGCAGCAAGCAAACCACAGATGAGAATGGGGAAGCTTGTTGTGAAGAAAGAAAGGGATACCCACTGCTGATGGAGCCAAAGGGTCAAGTCAGATGGACTCCCACTGGTAGACTGGGGCATCCCAAACACCATAAAAAATGACTATCTTTGATTATAAAACATAAAATAAATAAAAATCCATGAGTCTGTAGTAATACTCCCCAAAAGAAAGGAAGGAAGAGAGTGCAAATTTTTAGCACAAATGAAGCCAGAACATTTCTTCAACTGCAGCAATAGTCTGCCATATTGAACTGGGCTCCTCAACAGTAGAAAAAAAGAATACACTAATTTCTTTCACATCAATTAGCAATATAATAACTGTAATTATTGGCTGTAATTAATTATATATTGACCAGTAATATAAACCCTCACAAATCACTGATAACTGGGTGGAAATAGATTTATAATTATGATCCTCCAACCAAATTCTCATCTACAATAAAATCCCATCAGTAAAGGGCAACCTGTGTACAACTGGACTTCCCAGGCTATTAGGTAGTTTTGACTTTGCTTCTTGGTTTGGTAAGTTTTGCTCAAGAATAGGGAACCTTGGTATCTTTTCTTGTTGGGGTCAAGACTGTTCACATTTATTTTTCTTAAATAGTAACACAAGGCCTAATTAATTAAGAGCTGCAATGGAGCACAAAATTAAGATAGTGAAGGGTGTAACCAGCAACTCCGTGTCCCCATTTAGCACGTGAGGGCTCTGGGAAATTGTGCTGAGATGTACGTAGCTCTGGTTTCTGCTCTGTGTCGCCACTTAGCTATGTGGCATTACTAAAATACATTACTAAATAAATTGGAACTTCACATCTAACTTGGAATGAAAGTGGGAGGGGTGGATGTGGTCTTTTCCTGCCAATCTATATCCTAATTTGAGACACTGAAGTAATGGATATTCATAATGGTATGTAGACATAAAGTCTCAAGATTACACTATGTTCTACATAGCTTCAGTGTTGCTGCTATTCATGTTATTTTAATTGGCATTCTCACTGTGGTACATAGTTGTGGTGGCATCTATAATTACATAATCATTATTTATCAACATAGGTTAATTTCATTGGAGATTTGAAATAAGGAATATTTAATTATACTCAAATCTGAGGATCTAATATATTTCTAAATGTGAATGTCTTCTCATATTAATTTTCTTCATTTTAAAATTTCTTAGACATTAAAACACCAAAAGGAGCTTATTTTGGACAAGGGCACTCACCATTCTCCACCCATTGTTACTACCTTTTGAGGAACAAAAGTATCGAATAATGTCAATTCTATCAGAAGACTTCTAATGAGGAAGGCCAGATGGGGGTTAAGTGCTTACGAACCCATTTCTATGAAGAAACACTGGCATGCTAGCCAACAAGACTGTGAAGATTAAGGTCCACCAAATATCCTGGATTAGAGACACTAAAATGGTAACAGTGGCATTTCCACATATAAAATACATCAAAAAACAAAATGCAAAACAATACCTAGACAAAAGCAAATCAGACTATTTTATGTTCAAATTTCCTAGA